TATCTTCGCCCTTTCCGTATGGGTGGATGTGTTTGTTGCGTTTATTAGCTTAGATGAATGGACACTGTCATCTTTCAATCTTTTCTAAACCAATAGTCGTTATGGTAGAACATGGATCTCCGTAAATCCATTACTCTGAAAGCACCATAAATCCAGTGTATGCTGAGTGTCTTGAAGATTTTTTTTAGGAATGGATCCAGACACTCTTCCTTCCTCCTCCACATTTTAAACCTGGGTCTGGGCATCGCATTTTGTACATCAGTTAGCAGCTATTTTTGGTTGCGTGGTTTGGGCTCAGCAACGAGCTGTGATCGATGCGTTTGTCTGGATGCCCATCCGAGTGCAGGCGACACTCCATGCTCACGATTGATTCAATTCTGTTCAAAAGACTCATGCCAATTTTCATTAGACGGTAAAGGCTTTCTCACTGCACTTTTCGAGCAGTGGCAGCAGCGTAGCCCTTCCATGCAAGCAGTCCTTTGTCACCCTTCGGAAAACTCCATTGTCGGCATTTGGCAGGGAATCGTACCGTGCATATTTTCTCTTCCTGCATTCTGTTCCCAGTTGTATTCGTGATGTGACGGTGTTGTTGAAACGACGATCGAGGACGTGTAGTTCGCTCTGCCTATATCCAGCGGACACTAGGCGCCGCTAAGTGAACATCGGGCACAACTGTTTAAATCCTGAATCCAAACCGAATGCTTTTTGCTTGTTTAACTTCCCGTCGCAAGCTGTTTAAGCGACGTAGCAGCCGTCACTACTCCGCCACCGTTTCTACATCCCAGACACTAATACAAGCCCATTTCCTTAGTCAGGCATGCAAAAGTAACATGTGCTGATGCTGGAAGAGCAAAGAAGCTCCCAGGCCTAGCACTTAGTCAGCAAATCCATCTCATTTGAAGCCCTGTGGAATGCTTTGCAGCACTTGCAGTTGCACTTTTGTTTTTTCATACGTTTTATGTTGTGCAACAGCAGCACAAAACGCATATTGTCACGGGGTTATCTCTGTGTGTGTGTCCCATATTTTGTCCCGCACTTTCGACTCGGGAACCATAAAAGCTAGGCGGCTGAAACTGTAGTATAGTGTTCTTGCCAACGTCTGACGCAGCAGATTTAAATTCAGCCTTCCCTTATCCGCGGGTAACACGTACGGCCTCGTGAAATTTTTGGCAGGTAAAATCATTGTCTTGGAAGCCAGGATGCTAAGATTTCATGGGTATGTCCCCTGGTCACGTACGACCCAGGAAACTCAAATTCACCTGTCCTGTACCCTCGGGTAACATATACGGCCTGATAAAACTTTTGGCGGGTAAACTATTATTTCAGGAGCTGCGGAATCCAGGAAGCTGGAATTTTAGGGTAGTGACCCCTGTCCACGTACGGCCTCACAAGTTCAGTGTTCCCACGCTCTCGGGTATCACCTACTTCTCCTTGGAACGTTTGGCGGGTAAATTATTATCTCGGGAACCATGGAAGCTGAAATTTTATGGGTGCTTCTCCTGACCACGCGCGACTCAGGAAATTCAAATTCAATCTTCCTGTACCCGCGAGTAACACATACGGCCTTGTGAAATTTCTGGCGGGTAAAAACATTATCTCGAGAACCACAGGAGTTAGGAAGCTGAAATTTTATGCGTATGTCCTCTGCCCATGTTGGACCCAGAAAATTTAAATTCAGCCTTCCGTTTTCTGCGGATAACACGTACAGCCCCGTAAAAGTTTTGGCGAGGAGAATTGTCTCGGGAACTACGAAAGCTGGGAAACTGAAGTTTTGTGGATATATTCTCTGCTCACCTGCGACCTAGAGAACTTAAATTCAACCTTCCCGTGTCTGCGGGTAACATGCGCGGCCTCGTAAAAGTTTTGGCGGGTAAAATCATTATCTCAGGAACTGCGGAGACTCGGGAGCTGAAGTTTTATGGGTATGGCCCTTGACCACGTGCAACGCAGGAAATTTAAATTCAATTTTCCCTTGCGCTTGAGTATCGCGTACGGTCCCGTAAAAATTTTGGCGAAAAATTATCTCGGGGACCACGAAAGTTAGGAAACCGAAATTTCAGGACGATATTTTCTGCCGCTGCAGGTAATATCTCACAAACTCATATTTGGCTCCCAACTGTGTAGAGGTCTTACAAGAAACTGGCGCCAAAAAGGTATACTCAATCGTTATACAACAGAAAACATAAAAAAATTAAAAAAATATTTTGAAACGTGTCTTATTTTATCGCATTCCTAGTTTTGAGAAGTCAGCATACATCAATACGTAGGCACTGCTTTTGTACCCGGGAAGGTAATGGGACACCCAGCCTCCTCTCCTCCCTTTCTCCATCAGCCGTGCTCAGTTTAAAAAATACTTGATTTGCAGGCATTGGTAGCAAGAAGAGTAGGTCCACCCCTTTTTCCTGAGTTTTTTAGCCTGCAAACTTGAAAAAAAAAAAAAAACCCACGTCCCTCTAATTTACACCACTTGTTCTGGTCTGCAGTTTTAACGCAAAAGCACTCTGCATTGCGTTTACACAGTCCGCGATATATGAGCTCAAGGAGGATGCGGTGGATTATAAATAAATCGCCAGGAAGTGCTGGTATCGAGTGGGTTCCGCCATCTGCGCTCCCATTCCGATGCGTTTTTTTCATTTGTTCGTTTATTTTTTACAGTGATCGGCTATCTGCTTTGTAAAAAACACTTCATCCGGCATTTTTCCTCGTTTGGCCTCTCGTTTCTTATGCACTTTTTCGAAATCTGTTTTGGCGTGCTAGCCGGCTCTCAATCGCACTTAGCGCCCGTTAACACCGAGTGGTTTTGCAAAAAACGATTGGGCGCGTGTCACTTAGGGTCATTTCGTACAATTCCAAATGAATCTCCATCGATAATAAAAATCTCGGTTTCGAAAAGTGCCTCGGTCTCCGGAAATTTCGCTTATTTATGTGAAAGTGCTGTATCTCGTAATTACCATAAACGAAGACTGCTGTATTCGTGTTGTTCATGCCGTGTAATTACTGTGTTCTGCGCTTAATTCGATCTCGGAGCAGCAGTGGCTGTTTTTTCGCATAGCATTGTTTGCCAGATGTTTCACATTAAAGTATATGACATAAATGGAAATGCTCATATGCTTTTGTCATTTAGGTGTGGAAAAAAGCTGTTAGTATTTATTGGTGATTTAAGATATGTCCTAGTAAATTTTATGAAAGTAGTATAAAATTGAAATTAAGCAGTTAAACAAGACCTTCAAACCACATACATTAATGTTGAGCAGCACAGCTGGATCTCATCAACACAACTATTGTTGGCCTTAAATTATTCTGTCAAGATATTGCAAATAATTTAAGGTCAGAACCGTCGTACTGATGAGGTCCAGTTGTGGTGCTCAGCGACTACCTGCGTGCAATCTACAATGCTGACAAGCTGCAATCAAGTACAAATCATAGTTCTGACAGGCTCCTCCTGAAATGTGTACCTGCAGCTTGTA